CGGCGCGGCAGTTCGGTGTGGCACCTTTTAGTACAACGCATACGCAGTCGGGTTTTTTCTGTTTTGATTTTACTTTCATGCGTGAATACACAAATGAGCGAAAACAAGTTAAGCTGGGTTGAGTTCTTTGCTAAACGAAACGCGGTCGTGTTTATTTTGGGTGTTAAGTCTTTCAAAATTATGGGCTGCGCTAGTCAATTAGTAGGCTTAACTTATTGCTTACATATTTAAATGCTGATGTTTTTTATTAACAAAAACAAGAAACATAAATAAATTCTTAGCATTCCAAATTTAGCGCGAAGATACCTAATTAAGTAATGTTTTTTAAACGTTGATATTTATTATTGCAGATATTAGCAAATATAAACCGAAGAGGTAATTAAACTCTTTAAAGAAGGTTCAATACTACTTTATATTGACACAACAGGGCTTAGAGACTACAATAGACAGCGCAGTGCTAAATTCCCTAACAATAATAATAATAACAATAGTATAAACGGTTTATATGACAAATTCAAAAAGTCTTTTTTGTTAACTAACATAATAGGTATATTAACTAAAAGAACAGAAACGCGAACCATCTAGGAGTTCACATCTTGAGCGGCATCTTAACTGAAAACTCCATATATTTGCGAAATACAAGCAACTTGATCTGATGCGCTCCATGTACTTGGCTTCTTTGACAAAATTCAAAGCTATCACTGAACACTAAAGTATTTCTATATAAAGTTATAAAGCTATAAAACCACTATGGACTTACGGTATCCCGATCTTATTATAGAGATTTGAATCAAAAATACTTTGTTTATGTGCGGCTGCTCCATGGTATATCCCAAATAGTACTTTACAGAGCGATCTCCACATATCGCGCGATCTACATAAATATTAAAAATATCTTAAAAATAAATCTGATATTTTTAATATAATTGTTATAACTTTATAACCTTTACTCTCTTCATTTAAAACTTTTCTATTAAGTTAGAATTTGACCTGAAGCATTAAATTTTAGAGATCAAGCTGTCATATCCAACATTTTAATTTCGTCAACGAATCATTATACTACCCACAAATTAAAGTGTTTTATGGAAGATCTAGTACTTTTTTTTCTTCTCTCCTCGCTATCAAAACTTTTTCCTTTACTTTTATATATATACATATGTATATATCATAGCTGATTTTGGGTTTGTTCTTCTTTTTGTTTATGTAACATATGAGTGCGAGACACGCAAGTATAAATGTAAGTAAATATAAACTTTGCTGATAAGTAAATTGTTTTTAATTTAATTTTATATAGTATAAAATCAGAAGAAATAAATAGCAACCACGAAATATGTAAGCACACTTTCTTGTGCCTATTATTATTAAAAGAAGGAATCATGCACTGTGACTTAAAAGATCTAATCCCTTAGTCGGATTAGAATGTTTCTCCAAGTCCGATTTCTTTAATAAAAAACAGTATAGACTCTATCTTTCCTAGTCTTGAATCCTTATGATCCATGAAATATCCTCATAGGTATTTCTTCCTCTTGCGCATGAGTGCCGGGCACTCCCCAAGTACATGGTATGCAGTTTCTCTCTCTTCTCTACAGTATCTGCAGTCTGACTTGGATTGAGTTCCTATCTTTGATAGGTAATTATTCAATCTATAGTGACAGGTCAATAATCCAATAATAATTTTTAGGTTATTTTTTGATTGTGCTATGCAATTTTTGAAGAGTTTTCGATTGTAAGTCCCTAAAAGCATTTTAAATTGTGAAAGTCTTGATAGCCTTTTATGACTTTTATGCAAAATTCTATTTAGTATTGCTTTTCTATCTCAAAATAATGTTACTTACTTTCTACTAATCTCATTAGATACATAATCTGCACTTCACATATACAAATAATCAAACTAGCTACTTTCAAGCAACGTTTTTCTTACTCATTTTATTAAGTAAAGTGATTTTTGTTTCCCAATTAAACGAAGGTTTACCTTAAAGGAAACTTTTTAAATTGCAATCACAAATCAATCAAAGTATCTGCTTTGCATACGCAATGGTGAGTTGGCTCACAGCGTTTTTATGGAGCCAACACCTTTTAGAATTTGAACGTTTAAACGAATTTGGATCGAGGTTAATGCAAGACTAAAAAAAAGTACAATTCACTTAACGAAAAACAGAAAAGTGAAACCGACACAATATAATTAGCAAAAACTGAAAATAAAAAAAATCCACAGAATTCGCATACTTAAATGCATTTTAATTTTTTTTTTCTTTTACTAAAATCGAACTGTGTACATCCCACAATATGGCCGGTTACTGCCGGTTTCCTATCGATCTGTACTGCATAAAAAGTTAATTAATGCACGATCATTACGAATTTGTATCTTGGATTGCTCAAAAATACGTTGAAGGGTCATTGTGCGATGCGAAATGTTTACACAGAGAAAAATTTTTGGATTGGTGGTCCGGCGGTCTGAGCTCACCGCTCGCACACACTTTCACTTTGGCCTTCGTTTATTAGCGCTTGAGCATTGGCATGTGCTGCTGGCTGCTGGCTGCTGCTCTGTTGACACATTAAACAAAAATTATAAAAAATAAATTTTTATTAAAACTAAAATTGAACGTCACTTTAATTATGGCAAATTTTAAAAAACGTTTAAACACGTAATAATTAATTTTGTTGTCGTAATAATTATTTAATCGCATTCTTGCCAAAAAAAAATAATATTTCAAATATAATTGTTGCAATTAACTGCAGACATAATAATTGTTAAATAACTTTTATTTAACAAATAGTTGGAGCTGTGGCCAAATGAACGCCAAATAAGTAATTATTACATTGTCTTTCGTGATAACACATATCCATGTCCATATAAGATTCTGTGCTGTCTAACTGTTAGATTTAATTGTTATTACATATTTTTAATATTATGAAAATATTTGTATTTTTTGAAATGGCATATATAAATTGTATTTCAAATATTGTATCTTGTTAAATGAAATAGGAAATTTACACATTTAAGATCTGTAATTTATTACGTGCTGTAATCGTTTTACATTGTTTAATATAGTCCCCACCGTTAATCACCATTATAAGTGTAATAATTTCATATATATTACTATATTTAACCAATTAATGTCATTTAAAAATTCGCGCTATGTACTGTTCTGCAATAGACGAAAATCAGTCAACTTTTTCAAACAAGTTGGCAACGTGGGAGTAAGATAAATAGTGAGCTATCAAAGAAGTTATGATTTTATTAAAGAATTATTAGTTGGTTTAAATATTCTTAACAGAAAAGGCTTGGTATTCTGATCATTTATTTTTAGTATGTAGTAAAGTATTACTCGTATAAGACAAAAAATTCAGACGCTAATTCAATAAAGAATAAGAATAAAAAAATAAATAATACAAAATAATATAGTAATAAAACTGCTTTCATTTTAATATGTTAAATAAAAATAAGGAGTACAAAAGTTAAATATTTTATATAAATAATTATGTGTATATTATATACAAATAACATATAACAAAAAATTTTTACATTTATAAAAAAACTTTAAGTCATATTTAAATTGTATTTTTTAAATTGTATTGTATAATATATATTTGAATTTATTATATTTTATTATATATTTATTATATTATATTTATTATATAATTTATTATATTATATTTATTATATAATTTATTATATAAATTTATTTAAATATTTTAAAGATTTGTGCTTTTAAAAATACAATCAAAAAGAACAAATAAACAAAAAACATTGTGAACGTTGCCACAAAGCTTTTCAAACTGTAAGATATTTTCAAACTGTTATCTGTTATTAAACATCTTGGAATAATTTGAAAATGAAACATTGAAATCATACAAAAGTTCAGTTAATTGAGATTTTTTGAATTTTGAATTTTGACTTATTGTCTTTTTTATTAAAAAAAACAATAATAATAATTTTAAATATTTTTACCATGTAAGTTTTTTACAATTTAAGATTGAAAAATACACTCCAATTAGCTTATACCTAATAAAAAATTAAAAAGTATAATTCATTTTAGTGTACTAACAAACCTAGAATAGCGCTAATATAGAGATATGTATGTATCAAAAGAAAGTTATTCTCTTTGAAAATTAAAATTTCAAAAAATTTTACTATGTAAGTTTTTTACACTTTGAGGAATTTAAAAATTTTTAAAAAAATATAAACTCGGTTAAGTAAAGTACTATCATATAACCAATGTACCTTCTTCATTCAGTTATTCATTAGCCTAAAACCTAGCATTTTAAGCACTACATACTTATATTAACATATATATTATATTGCGACTCTAATTGGCATTATTAAAGCCGCCTGAGGATTAAAACCTGACTGAGGAATTATCTACCTGGACTACCTCCACTTTTATAACATAATATGTTAGGTACTGCCTATACTGCTCGCTAGTGTATGCCAGTTCCCAGGGTTATGTAGCTCCAGATTAAAGCATATGTGTGAGCAATTCTTTCACTCACTTCATAACAGAGTATATTTAGTTTAATAGGGCTTCCTATTCATTTCTTTCTTCCCTCTAGGCGGCTCTGGTTAATAACGGTTATTCTTTAACAAGAATGATATATACTGGAAACACATATTCTGGAGGATTTTCGTGGAGATCGAATGTAATATCTATCCTTAAAGAGCATATTGAGCGGTATTTGACATCCAAGATGGTTTTAACTTTTGTACGATGCACCTATACGGTAAATTGGATCCTTTGCAATTGGAGTCATAATCTAACCTAAAGTAATATATACTTTAATTTTTTTCCAGTCGTTGTTTTTTAGTCCTTTTAGGTAGTTTTTTTAATAGAAGAGAATTAAAAAAAAATAAAAAATTTACCTAATAGTAATTTAAACTTCCACATTAAAGTGTGAGTTGTAAAATAAAAATGTATAATAACGAAGTCTTTACTTAATTAAAAAAATCAGCAAGTTTTCAAAGAAAAATAAATTTTATTCTATGAATAGAGAAACTCTTTGATATTTCATATTTTGTGTCATCTTAAAGACAATTTATCTATTTATTTACTGCCCAATACGGCCATATCGTCAACTACTTTAGTAGCTATAAATCTGGAATTTGGTCGCGATGATGGTGATGTGCTAGCACTACTCGTACCGCTACTGGACGAATGTGGAAGTGGAACTGCAGAACGTGCCGGCACCAGAAGAAATTCATTAAATAAAAAATCTGCATCCATCGATTGTGTTTTTTCATGAAAACCACGCGCTATGCGCTTTGGAGGTTCTATAAATTTTTCCTTAACAACAATCGCACCTGGATGTGAGTGTTCGGATGCTGCATCTGTAGTCACTATGCAACAGGATTGAGCTACTGTTTTATATTTGCTTTTATGTTGCGGCGAACCTGACACAGACGAAGACGGTGAGGCACCCAAAGAACTCTTTAAATTTATGCACGATTGTGTATGTGTAACATCGACAAAGTCGGCAGCATTATGAGTGACTCTCTTTAAGGTGTTACTCTCAAAAGGAAAATTGGAATTTGAAGTGGATTGCGTTAGATTCTCAAATTTACGCAAACGTTCATCTTGTTTGAGTTGTTGTGTTGAAGCTGGTATATTTATAGAAGCATGTAATGTGGAGATTTCTTTCTGACGCTCAAAGTCACCGCTCTCAAAGAGACTTATTTGCTTTTGTATTCTCGGTGAAACGGGATCACTTGCTTTGCGTATGGAAATTTTATGTGCATTATGACTTAGACTGTTTTCAGTGTCATCATGCAAAGTCAGTGTCGGTGGTGGATCATATTTATCTGGGGAGGAACTAATGATTTTTGTTTCTGGAATTTTTAATGGTTCTGGTAATTTAAATATATCATTATCAAATTCACAATCTGGGGGCTGTCCTTGCTCAGCATGTGTGGGACAGCAGTAACAAGTTTCCAATTTAATGTCATCCGTGGGTAATGAAGGCGTAGTGGCAGCTGATAATGTGGTCTCATCTTCATCGTCGAAACCCTGTTTGTAATAAAGACGGAAATTGTATAAATTATTTTTATATCAAATCAAATTGTACCTACATCAACTGACAGTGTCATGGAACCTTTGTTTGCTATCATACTGATATCCATGCCGAAGCTAACTGGCGTAAGGCAAGCACTTTTATCACCTCTGCCGCTGCTACTTGATAGGAACACTGAATCAGCATCAACATCCAATGTATCTGCATTCATAGGTGTATAGACGGTAACCGAATTTAAGTCGTCGTCTAACTGTGGAAAGAATTTCGCCAACTCTTCAGCCGCGGGTAATATATTAAAGCTACAAAAACAGCAGGTGTTGAAAAGAGATAAAAAGTGTTAATTGACATAAAAAATGGGCTACTCACCCTTCGGTGCTAGTCAAACTGATAGACATTTCTCCGCTTGGGGTTCCATGCGAGTAACTATCGGATACTGCCGGTGAAGATGGTTCAGTGCTACTTGCTAAGCTTGACTGTTTGCTCCAAACTTTAATATTATTCGAATTTGATGTTTACAATTAAACATTTTAATTAATTTTCGTTTTTTATAAAAACAATAAAAATTGTTTGGTTTCAAAAATTATTTTTGGTTTTTATGTGCATTCGGTTTATGATCTTAGCAAAATTAAATTGGCGTTGCATTCAATATTTTTACTTTTATTTTATTAAATTGCATTTTTTGCAGTTTAAAACAGTAGAATTTATATATTATAGAATATTTCAAAATATTTTTATAATAACAGTGAACAGTGATGTGCAAAAAAAAGAGCAAAAGATTAAAGAAGTGAATTAAAGATAAAGTAAAATTAAAATATTTAAGAATAAGAAATAAGTTTCATTTTTTAGATTAATAAATAAATATAAACATGCATTCAACATACAATTGATTACTGAATTGCAATTGGAGATATCTATTTAAAGACTCCAACTACATCGTAAAACACATTCTTAAGAAATCTTAAGTGACGTTCCCACAAAGATCGACAATATGATTTTAAATAAAAATATTAAAACAGAAGATAGGTTAGATAGGTTATACCAGCAGGTTCCTAGTGGATCCACGTAGGCCTATAGGCCCATTGTGTTACCGTATATGTAGGAAAACTCAAGGGTTTTAAACCAACTATAACCTCTTGCGGAGCATGAAATGCTATTGAGTGTTAGGTCTTGTAATTGTACAAAATACTCAAGGAAGGGGTCTGCTAAAGTGTTGAGTCACCGCCGTGCGAGTATATTATTAGAGATTATATGAAGAAATCATTTCAACAACTATACAAACTCGCAAGAATCAAGAGTGACCTGTCAGCAAACCCACTATAGGCTAATACTTTCCTAACGCATCTTAATAACAATGCTACAGTTTTTGTTATATTTTAGAAAGGATAATCTGTGTACAAATATCTGCATATCGTTGAAGCTTCCAATTTTATATTAAATTGCTTAATACAATAAGATTTCAATAACTGTTTGCATAATGCTTGAGATATGCCCAAGAATTTTAGATGCTCTAAATAAGTACCTAAAACACACTATACGACTAACTCATCTGAACTGTAACTATGCAGTTTATTAAATTATTAAATCGTTTAAAAGATGTCGAAATCATCCTAGATATTTTTTAAAAGAATTAAACAGTTTGGTTAACAATACCTAAGTACAGATAAATTGGTACTCCTGTGACCAGACACAACTAAAGAATAGATATATTAAACTGAGTCGTTTAAGTATGTCATAAGCTATCATACATGTTAGTTGTACTAAACACAAACACTTTAAAGCACCTTAATTCTCAATAGGCATATATATATTCCTCCTCATATTCCTATTGTCCACTTCAGGAAAAAGTTTAAATTATTTAGTGGCCATAACTTTTGTTTGAAATACACTTCAGTAATCACTAAACCTTCAATAAATCTAATTATACATTTTCAGTTAGAACCGTTGCTTTATATTATATATAGTTAAGCCTTCTTTTCCTCTTCTAATGAGTGATCTCACTAAAGCCAGGCGTCTCTAAATGGAAAATCGACAGTGAATTATATATATTTAATCCTTTAACTCCTAGGAGGAGTATAGGGCCGCAGTGAATTATATGCCGAAGTCAAAACTCTACATATTGAAACTAAAGAAAATATACATATATTAACTATGTTTTTCAAAGGAATACATAAAATATACATATATAGAAAATATGTGTACAAAGAAAATAATATATAAATACACAACTACATAGACAATAAATCAGGCACATGAAAGATAAATTTGATGAAAAAATATCAAAGTTCTAAAAATTAATAACAATTAAATTTTGTAATAATTACAATAAATAATAATAGTCTATATATTTTAATTATTGGTATAAGAAATAACTAATAATTTACAACAAAAAAAAAAACAAAACAAATATATTTGATATATTAATATTTTAATACAATTTATTCATCCAATTAACAATTTAAACATTTTGCAAATACATTAATGAATTTTATATATAAATTTAAATAATTTTGATGTTTACAATAAATTTATTAAAAAAAAATAAATCAGCGTCTTTTTTTGATTGAGTAAACATTTTAAAAACAAATTCTCTAAAATTTTTTATTTATAAATAAATAATTAAAAAATAAATTTACTAAAATTGCATCGGAACACATACAAGCATTCATTGTATATTTAAAGAAAGAATTTTTTTAATAAATTAAATTATTTTAATTGAAATTTTATGCAAAAAAATTACGACAGAATAGTTTTCTAATTTTTAATTTGATTTATTTTTCTAGAGGTAATTGTTCAGCTTCCGACTTACTATTCTGTGTGTTGGAGCCAACAGCTGGTGGAACGGTAGCACCTGCTGCAGATATTGATGTTTTTGGTCTATTCACATTTTCCGGCATGAGATAACCGCAAAAATTGCATTTACCAAGAACTTGATTACTTGGTAGAGTACAGCATGGACAGCTTTGATTTGTTGGCGTTGTTTCTTTAAGTTCTGTTCCATCCGTTAACGAATTACTTGCTGTTGGAACTGGTGTGGATGGATTTTTTGGTGGTGAAGAAGCTGGAGTCTTGAGCGCACTAGCTGTCATCTTTTGTAGATAACTATCAAGCTGTTTAAGTGATAAAGCATTGTGTAGTGTCTCAAGTGGGCGTATGGGTGGAACACCACCAAAACCTTCTAAAACTGGGAAGATGCAAATAGTAAAATGTATAGCATATACTATATATATATATATATAATTGTTTATATGAAAAACTTAAAAATACATATGTTAAAAACTAACAATAGCTAAAATATATTATATACAAAATTCAATAAGATTCCTTCCCCGTGAAGGAAGTAAGGAAGAAGGAAATCTTTTGTTTTCTTCAATCTTTATTAAAGGGTTTAAGTCGACTTAGAGGTGCCGTAACTAAATATTGAAAATAACGTTTTAGTCATACGTGATCCTATTAGCTTAATCGAACAAGAATTCCTAGTGGTAATTTTTGATGCTATTATACTAGACACCTAGGTACTAGGTATAATATAAAATTTTGAATTGATTCACACTTTATATCTGTTTTCGACATTAAAAAGTATAGATTAAATAGTGAACTATACAACAACCAAGCACGAACGTGAAATAAGTGGCTATGTATTATAATCTATATAAAAGCATATAACTTTACGATCTAATCTCTGCATTATTTTCATTAATATTTTTTCTGTAAACTCTGTAATATTTATTTGAATAAAAGAGTATCAAAAGTTGAGCAGAAATTTTGGACTTGTATTGTATAGTATGTGAAAGTTATATAAAGACTAAGTAAAATCAAGAGATCTATTGTACTGCCCTGTTCAAGTATACGCTAACCCTATAAAATCAGATCCAGTTTCATTTCCTTAAAGTAATCAATAATAATAAATTAATTTAACACTGACAATTCCTTCCTTGCCTGGTATCAAGTTCAACTAATGAAAATGGTTCTATAGAACTACTTAGGCCTATTTCCCAATTATGTTGTGGGCACCTACAAAAAGTACAGAAAAGTACATAACTCTTCATATTTTATACTTTCTACGTAATACTGATGCTTATACAAAATTCATAATACATATCGTCTTATTAAACAAATAATATATAATATATATCAGATATCAGATATTCAAATTCAATAATCAAAACCATTACTAACAAATTTAAGCAATAACTTTACATTTTTAATATAAGTTTTACATATGTAACTTACCTGATGATGAAACTGTGCCTGGTATCATATCACGTAAATTTGGTGCTGATGAACTTCCACTTATAACCGCCGTACTAAATAGACTATTTGAGCTAGTGGCCATCTTTTTACTAAAACCACCAAATCCTAGCATCTTCATATATGACATCTGGCCGGCAATACTGTGTCTTTGACGTCGACTCGATACCGACGCACACGACGATGCAGAGGTTACCGATGAGGCAGCATTACCATCTACGGTGGTAGTAGCAGAAATGGAATTGGGCGGTGTGTTGATGTGGGTGTAGGAACAATTGGGTTTGTTAATTTTTGTGGTATGGACAAAATTGTGGTTGTTGGTATGGTTGTGGACGTGGGTGTGGGTATGGGTATGGGTATAGGTATGGGTGTGGGTGGAGATTTTAAAATTTTTCAGGTTAGAATCAGGCAAATTAGACAAATCGGTAGTTGATGAAGTTAATGTGACAATAACATTTGGAACATTAGGTGAGTGATGAGCATGATATTTATTATGCGATGAATTGTCGTGATCGAGATTATGTTGATGATATTGATGAGCATGGTCATGATGATGATGAGGTTTATGATAATAAGGAGAAAAACGATTTTTGTTTGACGATGTTGTTGGTAAGTCAACATTAGTGGATGAGGTTGTGGTTGTGGTTGTGGTTGTGGTGGTGGTATTAGTTGTAAATATATTAGCATTAGTAGCTTGCGTAGAAATTTCAGCAATCGGAGCAAATTGATTTACAAACAAATTAGTATTTGGTGGAAATTTAAATGGATTTGACATATCTACAATGATTGGTGCCGAATGCACTGTATGTAAGGTCGAAAAAGTGTTACATTTGGTATTTAAATTATCTTTTAAAATATTCTTATGTAGTTGTGAGTCCTCGAGATCTTTACATAATTTAAGTGTGGAAGCTGTGGGAGAATTAGCATGTGATTCCCCAATTTTGAGTAAGGAAATCTTTGAAGGTTTTTCACGTAACCGAAATTCAGAATTTAGAACAATAGCAGGTGCTGAACAAGAAATTTGCAAATAATCTTCAAAGGATGTCATAGTGAAATTTCCAATTCCAAATGTTAATTCATTATTATTACTTGTATAAATTTCTGCTAAACTCTTAGAATGAGAGTGTGGTGAATGATCTTCGAAAACACCACCACCAAGACAATTGCAAGATAATGGACGCTCATTAGTGGCAAGTGGTGAAATTTTCGGGAGATGCTGAATACGTTTAACGTAATCAGGCTCGTCACTGCTTTCCATGCGTTGCATAGCTAAAAGTTTAAGGCGCTTGCTCTCTGCATTTGAGGGTACATCAGGTGTGGATGGATTTTGCGAAAAATCAATATCAGATAAAGGTAACTCATTGGTTGACGAATCTATTTTGTACAAAGTAAGATTGTCTGTGACGCGTATTTGCGAAGCATGATTAAGATTAGAAGCACGCATTATGGGTATTTCTTTGAATTCTTTATAGTTTATTGCTTTAAGCGGACAAACTGTGCTTTGTTCTAGAACTATTAACAAACACATTTACACATTTACATATATCAAAACGAATGTTAGTTTCAAACATAGATTTTTAAAGGCGTTAAAAGCGCATGTTTCGGTAAGGGAATTAGTTCATTTACGTGTGGAAAAAAATGATGAATTATTTGTATATATTAAAAATTATTACTCATTACAGTATGATAAATAATTTATAAGAAGTTTATTATTTATTTAGACGTCACATTGAGAACGACAATTATGCATATATGGCAAGCAGATTTTAACAGAAAATTTTTAAATTATATAAGTTAAAAATAGTAGTTAAAAATGTGTAACACGACAAACATGCAGTTACAATCAATTTGGATATAAAGTAAGTAAATATTCGATATTAAATTCAATCAGTTGGGGAAGTGCAGATGCAATCGAAAACTTAATATATATTTATAGACATAAATTCATAAATTCGTCAAGAAACAGTTAAAGTATGATATGGTATATTGAGTTTTATTGATGAGTCAGTGGGACTTAATACCAAAATTTCTAAAATTATAGTAGAAATATTTTGAATCGGATTTAAAAGTCAATCACAATAAACTACGTCTGGTACAGAAATTATAGAATATCCGTATATGTTTACTTCTTAGAATTGCATAAAAAAACATATTTAATATTCAATTCTGTTTTCAATTGCTTATAACAAACAGATAAAATGTTTATATATATAAATTATATATATATATTTTCAATTCTACTTTTGTACTGGACTAATAGTTTATTTATCGGTTGACATATAGTTTTGAAAAGAGACGTAGAGAAAAGTATCCAGTAACTATCTGCCAACAATGCTTTCGATCATTTGGTAAAATTTCAAGTAAAATTTCACAAAATGATTTATTAAATCAAGAAACGAGCTACAAGTTCATAGCACGTTAAAGCATTCTTAGCAGTTAGCCTAGGAATTACAAAAAAATACCAACAGCAATGGACGACACCGAGTTTCAGCCAACTACACGGGAGTGCCCGGCCAGATGCTTATACAAATTTGTTAATTAAAACGTAAAAAATTATAGAGTTATGTTAAGAATTAGATTCTCATTAATTATAAATAAAGAAATAATATAGTATAAATTATATTACAGCAAAAAAGCTTAAAAAAAGAATAAATACAATATCACGAGTACACAAAAGACACTATCGCACACAGATCGCACTGTAAAATATTAGTTTTTAAAAAACAGTACATTTATCCCAAATGTTATAAAGCTTTCACCCATTTCATGTACTCAATCAACTGAAAATAGTACAAAAAAACCAAAGCTGAAGGACAATTTTATAACAAATACATGCAAATTAGGAAATTGCAATCAGCCCCTTAATCATAATCGTATTCGTAAAATTAACGAACTTTGTAGTTTTAGTGTCAACGCGTTCCAAATAACAATGCCAAAACATATCAGCAAATTAAATTGAAACAATTCGTAATTACCTTTGGTTTTTTGTTGACGTTGATCGAAACTACGCGAACGCATATCGGCGTCACTAGTATGTTCTGCTTCCAATGAACCGGACTGTTTGGCTTGTTGCTGAGAAGCGAGTTCTTCATTCAAACGTTTGGCAAGATCACTGGCCTCGTGACCACAAACTGTATGGTGTGAACCGATTGGTATTGGCGCCGATTTAAGACGTTTGGAAGACAGTTCAGTATTAGGTAGTGCACACAGAACGCTCTTCTCTTCCGGAGAAAACTGAAATAATATTGATTTTTAGAACAATTTATTGTCATTAATTGATAAAAATGTCATAATTACATCTACATGAGTCTTAACTGGACTTTCATCTGTATCGTTTTCCTCATCAATTCGTGGTGGATTGATAAGAGTATCTTCAGAACCCTAAATATAAAACAGAGAACTATTATTTATATGTACATATATATACATTATTTATATAAACAAACTACAAAAATATTTGATTATTTTTTATTCTCTATTTCACACTTCACAACAATAAATAATAGTTAAAAACAGGGTTGTTCAAAGCACGGCCGCGACATATTTTTAATCTACTGCAATTAGTCAAATTTTCTTTTGGTGTACTGATTAAACTACATTATCTTATTTTTCTGATATACTAAATAAAAAATTGATAAATTAATAAAACTAAATTTTATTTTTATTTTTGTCGAAAACAACTATGAACGTATGTATTTGTTTTTGCGGCCCCCCAATCTATATAGTGATTTGTATTGACCCGCAATCGGATCTGATTTGACAACTCTGGTTAAAAACATAAATATCGTATCAAGGGATAACCGACCTTTATACCGAAGCAGTGTCTTCCGTAAGACCACGGTTATATTCTAACAAAGTTCTCAATAGACCGCTGCACCAATAAATACGAGAGCTGTTTTAACCTAATTGAAATCAGAATATAGTCACGTGATTAATAATTCCTTGTAATATATAAACAGTGATATATATGTATAAGAGAGGCTTTAGGGGTTTATAAACTGCCATTAAAATATTTCTTTTCATATTACCCAATATATAAAAAATTCTTTCATATAAACTTTGAATGCGATATCAACACCCTTTTCCCCCTTTGATGCCCCTTTTCCTCCTCTCCCCTTTGATGAAACCATATTAATTTACGTCTCTGACCAGTCAAAATAAAAATCAAGGCTTTTCGACCGACTTTAATTAGGATTCCACGAACATCCACCATTTCACTTGATAATCCTTACTCTCCTAATATTTCATTTCAATCCCTGTCTTCATTTTGTATTCTATTTATGTTTGTTGCCGTACAGATTTTCTCATCTACAACAACAACAGCTACCCTTTATTAACCAGCTCTATCCATTTTTACATATAAAAATATTATAAAATACCATATATCATGATATAATAAAATATTAGACATGAAGGAACTCTTAATTACGCGTAACAAAAATAAAAATATTAAATATGATTTAAAACTTACCGAAATTCTTTGATTTGCGGAATCGTTGCGAGAGTGTGGTCGAAAACCAGGACCGGGTGGTAAGTTTTTCTGAACACAACAGTTAACACCAGGACTAAAATGCAACTCAACATGAAAACGCTCTTCTGATGTTGGATCTTTAGTCGGATCTTCATACAACATTATGACAATTTGTGACATATAATTAAGTTCAGAAACCATAGATATATAATCCATAGCACGTCGCCATTGTTCATCAGTCAATACATTCAGTAATCCACCATAACGTAATACAGTTAGTAATGAGTGTACATGGCTTTCACTAGTGAAATATAAACGTGTACGTACGTGTCTACCTGGACTTGCAACACCATGACTATAATGTGGATTTAATCTATTTACAGACTCATCATCAACTTCTTCAATATTTCTTTGCAAATCAGCTTTAATTTTCTTAAGTAAAGGTGTACATATGCCTTGTCCTATAGTTAGTTTTTCATTAATGGTCAGACCATATTCCTGAGGTATTACAATGTCTGCCAAATATTTTGCATAAATGTAAAGTTCTTCGGCTTGATCATATTGCAATGTGTGTTGATTATGTTGTAAATCGTATTTAATACAATCGTATATATCTGGAATTTTGGATATATCATATAATTTTGATTTGGTGCTAAAATCTTTTTCAATTTTTTCCCAACGGCGACCCATTAAATCCCAAGTTTCGCCATGGTAAAGTATAGCATCTTTCGTTTTTGTGTCATCCTTTTTAACACTTATTATAGCGAGCAAGTCTTTTATTAATTTGTGCACATAATTGCAACAGGCGACTGGATTTTTTACAAAGTCCAAAGCTTGATTAATTGATATACTGTTTCCTGGATTAATTGCTTCACGATCTTCACGTGTGAAATCACGATCATTTTGCATTAATTCATGTAAACGATTTTTGGCCCTGTAAATAAATTTAGAATAAATATTTATAAATAGTGAAGGGAACAAAACTTACATATTTTGGTATTTACTAGAATCGCAATCATTATCTAGTAAACCATTTGTATTTGCACTTTTTACCATTTGCACTAAAATAGGCGTTAGTTCACCTTCCAAGGCAAGTAAACCCTTGGCAAACGCTGCAGCGGTCATTTGTACTCGACCCTCATCGGAGGCATAAATTTTCAAATCATGTCGAAATGTAGAATGCAATCTATAATTGAAGCAAGCAATTTATGGAGTACATATAATATATTGATAATGTAGTATTTTACCTTAGTAAACCTAAACCTTGAGTGCCTGAGTAATCTTGTCTACCTTGACCACCAGGATACATGCAACGAAATATTCTACCTAGCTCTTCAGCTTGTATACGACCTGCTGGTGTTAACTCTCCACCCCATTTCAAAATTAATACCAGCGACGGCTCCTTCGGTGCATCTACTTTAAAATGTAAACCGACAAATAACAGTAATAGTAGGGTAAGAATGTAAAAATAGAAATCATTGGAAAGAAGTTGTGAAGAGAAGAGAAACAAGGCAACATAGGTATGTTGCCAAGTAATAATAGATTTATTAGGATTTATTCAAAATATACATACAATGCTTTACAGTATTACCATCATCGGAACTAGAACCTCTTGGACGGCCTTTTGGTTGGTACTTCATTTGTACTTTTCTATTAATGCCAGAAAAGTGACCATACCTAAAATTTAGTCAACATAAAATGTAAAGAAGTAGATTAAGATTATTGACTAAGACTATAATAATCATTATTTACATTTCCAAGACACTCTTCAACTGCTCCAACTTATTTTGTTTTTCTTCTATTTCAACATCGGCAGCTTTGGTTTGTATTTCAGCTAATAAAAAGCGTGCTATATCTAATATTTCTTGTAATTGTTTAGGTCGTTTTAACTTGACATGTCCGTGCTTATAACCATCATATTTTTCAAATATTTCAAAGAATCTAAAAATTGATATAATTAACTCAATTTATTCGTATATATAATAATAATATACTGAAACTTACTTTGGATGTCTCACTTCTACTTTCATTTTCTGTTTAGGTGTGCGATCACCGTGTCTAATCACTGCCACAACACAACGCAATTCCATCATTTTGCCAAAAGTAGTAGGAACAATGGGTGGATCGTCCAATTGAAATGGTACTGACCAAGGTATATGTAGTGTGGGGGTTAATTCACGTAAGATCATATTGCCCAAAATCTTGGCACAATCGTCATAATATTTGTTAGAATTCTTTACAAAACTAAATCCATTTACATCGCAAACATACGATTTACCATTAGCTCTGTAAGGCACAACTTAGAACTGTAACATTCTTGAGAGATTTTAAAGTGAGTATGCGACTACTAACCTTAACAAATCAAAACCGCAAACGGTTTGTTTAAAGGCCAAGCACACCTTTCGTGAAATAAGCTTCTCAGCGTGGTTTAGAATCACAGGATAACGTATCTCTTTACCTTCGCTATCGCGTTCCACTTTACCGTCAAGAGCTGGACTTTTGCGAGCCTCTGCATGCGCGTAATCTGGACCTACTGTGTACACCTTAACGTCCGTACCTGAAAAGTACACTAAGTTTTAAAAGTAATGCTGGATTCTAGAAATTCAAAAAAAAATATTTCAGTTATTTTTCTAGTTGAAAGTGGATATTAACTCTACAGAAAGATTATCTTTCTTAACTTAGCATAACAACACTAGGGAACGTAAATTTGAGGTATACTTGCGGATGCTCAATGCAGAACAGAGCAATGCTTATGTTTTATTTTGTTTTTTTTTTGTTTTTGTTTTTGTTTTTGTTTTGGTTTAAATCGTTTTGTTTGAGATTTTGTATGTTTTTGTTTTTAGATTTGATTTGATTTGATTTGGACTTGCAGCTGTGATGATAAAAACAAAAATATGATTATTGATTTAGTGCTAAATTTTCTATTAAATATAATTTATGAGTAGCGCGTAATTGTCTAAAATGTATTAAAATAAATTGTTAATAAAATATAAAAATAAACATATAGACACAAATAGACAAATAGAAACAATGAAAATAATAAAAAAAATAAGAGAAATAAAAATTATAAAGTAAACAGCATTGTAAAGCTTCATGAGATGTAAAAATACTTAAAAAATTAAAGCATAGAAGCTAATTATGGACAACTTCAATAGATACATAGTTATCTTAATTAAATGATTTTATGTAAACAACAAACGCTTTGAGAAACCAACGATAAGCACTAATAGAACCAACAAAATAAATAAAAAAGAACAATAAAAATAATTAACACAAACAATATTAACGTACATGAAAATCTGATATTTAAATAAATTCAATGTAATATTTTTATATATAAAAAAAACTCGTATAACGCTCACAATCAACGCCGAACATAACGCATAACGCATAACGCTTAACGCTTAACAAGGAACTTGTACCATAAACACCTGTGTACCATGGATAAATTTTGATAACTTCAAAACTGACTAAAAACTTTTGAACTCACTAAGACAATGCAAAGAAAATTAAATAATATTATATATTTCTGTATATATATATATATATTTGAATAATATTGTATAAAAAGCAACGTATAAGTTTTCTCTAAAAGCAAAGAGGTTACTTAACATATATCATATATATAATATTTATATTTTAGAGTACAATTACTTACCATCAGTAGGCATGAAATCTTCATATATAAAGGAACCAGTTTTACGAACACGAGATTCAGGTGAATAAACACTACTTCTGCTACCAATCTGCAATTTATTATACATTATAAATAGGTTATATATTTTCATTTCATTTTAAGTTTCTATTCACAACCTTTCTGAACAAACGTTGACTGCCACCACCAGCAGACGTTGGATAGTAGATGTATATGTTGTGATCTTCAGCTGAAACTGGTTTTTCCACAAAAGGTTTGTTGAAAATAATACCATTGACTTCCACATGATCTTCAGATTCGATCAACTCATGTTCTAAATATATTTCAATAACAAAATTAATATTTACATATAACATATAACATTTCATTCAACAATCTCTAAGACCTACGTTTTGGATCTGGTGAGTCTCGATCAAGTACTGCATACCGCGGTATTTCAATGCCCTCCTTTTGCAAAATGGCGTAAACTCTGCGACGATCTTGTATATCATATTGCATATGTAAATTGTTAAGTACAAAAGGTTTTCTTAGTTGCGCATATTGTATGGCTTTTTCCAACGGAAATCCTTTCGAATGGAATGAAACAAGACAATCGCATATTGGCCAATTTTCAACAGGTTCCTGTAAGAAATGAATATAATAATAATATTAATTATATTATAATAAAATATATAAGCAATTAATGTAATGTTTAACTGATTGATTGTACTAAAATTCATATATCTGGTAGGGTTAGATTTTGGGGCTATTACTTTTCTAACAGTTTGTCACTTTTAAAAATATTAAAAAAAAAATAATCGGAAAAATGATTTGTTCAGTAGAGAGCATAATGAGAACAGAGCACACCTTTATGTCCAAGGTTGATACCAAGATTTATTTCAAGTAACACCTGCATTTGTATGCCATATACCTGTATTAGATAGATAAGGGGTTTTCAATAACAATTCTATATACAGAGCCATTTATTATATAGTCTACAAACAATGTACGCGATATATTGTTATAAAGAAACATTTAGATGCTTTAAAACTAATTTTAGTACTAAACGGATCCAAGTCTTTTTTAAAGTTATCATTATAAATTAAATTTTGTATAACAAAAAATCGGATTATGTGAATATCAATCCAAAAAAAATTAAGGTACTATTAGCTCCTATAAGTCGAAGATTATGGCTAAGCTTTTTATAGGTTTGGAAACCTGAAAAACAAGCATATTAAAGTTTAACAAGTTCAGCATAAAGAGGTATTAAAGAAGAAGAGAAGAAGAGGTGATTAGAGAATGTTGAACTTAAACCGGTCCAAATAAAGAAATGGAATCGCTTCGATCGGACGCAGTCATAATTCAATAGGGCTTAACAGATTTTGTGGAATATGAAAACAGATGGATGATATTTGAGGAATAGAGTTCCAGTGGAAATACATACATGGCTGTACGTACCTATATAAACCATATGTGCATAAGTTTATAACTATTTCTCGAAAAATGTGGTTATTTTTCGCTTGTTGCAAAAAGATTTTATTACTTTATATTTATTAAATTTAATATATGATCTACACTCTATTAGTTTTTTAACCTCAAACATATTTTTTGATATGTTTGCGAGATACTTTTTCGGAAAGCACTAATTTCTGGTTTATTTTTAAGATAAAAAAAATTTATTTTGTAGGGAATTTTTAACTATACTTTATTTTAATTAATTAAAGTAATAAAAATTATATACTTCAATAATTATGAATTAGTTGTAATCTGTTTAGGCAAAAGTTTAAACGTGTAAACACATTTCATGTTAATTGCAAGGTAGTATTTTAAAGTAAGTTATTTATTATTATAGATTTTTCAAATAAAATATATATTTTAAAAATAATATAATCATTAATATATAACAGACAATATTAATATTATGTAAAATCTATATATATGAATATGAGTATAATAGGTACACTATCTGTAGTGTATATGTACACTTTCATATATAACTCATGCATGAGTTGGGCGATTTAAGTTATATATATAACAACACTTTTATATTTTTAATAAAACATTAAATTAAATTTCTCTTTAAACAAATTAAAAACTATCTACTTTAAAATATTATATTAAAAAAAAACTTAAAATGAAATTAAGTCCATAATTACCTCAATATATTACCAACGCTCCTATATTACTTTAAAACACAACCCCTTATACAGTATTTACACATTTAGAAATAGATATATTAATATAAAAATGACCTACCTTCAATATAACATCCTCTTCAAAAATAAGCATTTTGATAAATTCGAATTCCTGCAAACGCGTTAGAATCTCCTTCATGGGCTTTGATTGAGTCTTTTTTGCCATGGCACATATACCGACCACAACTTGTTTTCCTGAATTGGAAGATGTACTACAATCCGAATCCATGCCATCAGTACTTTCACATAAATCAGTGTCACCCTGAAACAAACGTCAAATTTAGATTATTTGTATGTATACCAAAATTTCAAACTATCTATGTCAGAAATATATAAAATGAAATCAGTTCGTCTTGAGCAAGCATTCGAGCTGGACTGAAATTTCCTTGTTCTTCAAAGTCGATCCAAAAATTACAATTTTGCTTGTATTACAAGTGAACCTCAAATTATTCAAGTCACAAATTATCTTTGCAAATTAATCGAATCTTTTTAAAGGTTAGTAAATTATTTTTGCTTGCGTATTAATAATTATTGCTGCTATATATATATTATATATAATATTATTAGTACTTCTTACTTTTCGCTTATGAAATTATTTATATATATATGTATATGATTGTATTTGTATTGAGTTGTCACCGTTCTGGCGGTAGTTCCACATATTAGTACAACCACTACTTTTCTCGAAAAGAGTAAGTAGGCGATTCTCAAAGGTTTTTCAAACCCACGGGGTCTTAAGGGTATGGCGGGTATATCGTAAAAATATTGTAAAAAGACAATTTATAGAATAGAATAATAGAATGAATATAGCGGTAGGTCCACATTTTGGTGCCCATATTTAAAGAATTTCAGAATTCTGCCAAAGCTAAATAGAATTCTTCCGAGTCATTTAGTGTAGGTATTCCGCTGATAAAAGGCGTTGAAGTATATTTTTTTCTTGAAAAAATTTTGACAAAAAAAAATTTTAAATTTTTTCATTTTTTTGACAATATGCTTTTGACAGTTGCTAGAAAAAAAATTGTCTAATTTTAAATGTGAAAATTTTTTTTCATTGTCAGTTAGTTTTCCTCAACATCAGCAATTTTTTATATCGCCATTAAATTTTCGCGTGTGAAGTCAATTAATAAAAGTTATTGATATATAAAATATTGCAAATAAATATAAAATAAGTAAGGAAATTAAGAAACTAAAAGAGGTAATTACTTTTTTTATTTTTAATTAATTACTAGAATGTAAGGGCTCTACAAAAAAAAAAATTATTAGAACGTAAACTTTCGATATAACGAAAGATATAATGTCAAGACATTTCCTTATATATTATAAAAACATCTTTGGTATATCTTCCTTTGGCAAGTATTTGGTCGTCAGTTATGTAGACGCTTTGTGAAACCGTAAGTCTATTGTGCATATTAAATTTTTTAATTTCTTATTAAAAACTTCGGAACTTATTAAATAGTTTCCATAGAATTCTAACTTCTGAACAACCACGCCATCTGACTTGTCTAAAGTCTAATATTGATTTAGTGATAATTTTTACCAGCATACATAGAATACCTACTTATTTATATCGTTGATCAAAATTCCCACAATAGTTGATGGTTATATCGTTTTAAAGTATAACTTGGGGTTTTGTAAGATACTGAACACTGGTATATATGACAGAGACGGGTTACAACAACAGAGACTTTCACTGTAAATGTTATTTATAAATTTAGAAGATATTTAGTGTGTGATTTTTACGACGCCACAATTTGGCGATTAATTTTCGTAGATTTAAGTATTCTCAGCAACTTTTTTCACAAATATTTATGTCCATATAGCTTTCTTCTTGAGATTTCCAGCTACATTTACATAATTTTACATGAAAAATACCAACAACGATTGGTTTTTTGTTTTCTTATATACTAAATATAAAGTTATATTAATCCATAACAAACTAATGTACAAAAATTGTAGTTATCTTATTTAGACTAATCTGTTCTTTTTGTTGAGATACAAAAGTCATTTCACTATTCTTTAACTGAAATCTTGATTTCTGCCAACATCTTCAGTGGTATCTAGGTACACATAATAATGAGGACTGTTGGCACAACATGCAACAATGCGAAGACTTGTAAAAAATAAATATTATCTATAAATCATATAATCAGAAAGGCATTTTACAGTATAACTTATAAAACATTATTCGTATAGAAGATATGCAAGAAATTAGAGGAGCAATGTGATCATTTTTTTTTAGAAAATATGCAAAAAGCCTTGCAAAAAATTTGGGATATAAGTAAAAAAGGTTACTTTAGACTCACCTTAAATCATGTCGTACTATAAGTATAAGAAAAATTTTTTGGATCACAGAAAGTATCTCATGCAATAATTCTTAAATTTGCTAATAATAAATTTCATAAAATATATGTCATATTGTTGTTGTTGTTGTTATGATTTGAGTTATTGCTATTGCGCATTTTTACTCTTTTGTGACTGGGAGGCTTATCCCTGCCCCATACTAAACTTTAACTATACTAGAATCATTATCATTTATTTATCTTCTAACTGATGACGGACCGTAGATCAACATATCTTCCTGTGCGTCCTGAGGTGTCGTATTATAAGTATAAATAAACTTTTGGGTCTCAAGAAGTATCTCATGCAATAATTCTTGAATTTGCTAATAATAAAAACTTTTGATAAATTAGCTTATTTGCTGAGATCTGAGACATATTGACTTGCACTTCAGCACAACAAAATAGCTGCTACTTCTGAATCTTCTAAACCTAAGGTGTTGGTATAGGTTTGATTAACTCTCTTTCCGCTACTCACATGCATTGTACTTCTTTCTCAACGATATGGTAAGTTCCCTAATTCTTCTTTTTTTTCTCTCTTATATCGGATTTGATTTTGTTGTATGCTCTTTGATTAGGAACTACCCAGGTCTCACCTGATCTTTGACTACTATTCGTTTATATTCAAAAGATGGTACAGTTATGTTTTCTAATAAGAATCTATATTTATTTATTGAAGCACCCTCTACTTGTTTAAATTTTGGAATGCAATTTTTATTGCACTTTTTGCTATTTTTGTGAAAGTGGCAAAGCAACATGTTCGGCGCATACTTCAGCTCACATTTAAACAAAGAATTGTATGAAATATCATTTGTAAAAGTTAAATTTATCATTGCATAATAACATAATTGAAAAATTTTAAAAATGAAACTCTGTAGCATTGCAAAAGGTTTGACAGCTCAGAAATCAAAATTTTAAATATACTTTAAATGCATATCTTACGTTTGATATAGCAACGATAATAAAATAATTGTCATTTGTGAAGTGTAAAATTTTAAATTACAAATTTTTGTTTCAAAACTTTGTGGTACAAAAATATTGTGTTAACTGTTAGGAAGCAAAACTGTGCAAAATAATCATAGGAACGCAATTCGTGAGTAGTTTTTATAAAAAAATAAATAATAGTAATTATATTAAAGTTTTAATATAAATATGCAAAATGTAAACAAAATAAAACGACCTACATTTAAGCATTCATCACAAAAACAGAAGTCATCACCCTCATCACCTTCGTTATCGTAATCATTATCATCATTATCATTGTTATCAACCTCAGCCGTGTTACTGAAAATTCCGTCATCGTTGTTCGTTGTTTCTTTATTTGAGACGCGTTTGCCTCTTCTCTTATTCAATTTTCGTCTTGTGTTTGTGGCGCCATCGTCTTGCTGTTTAGAGTCATCATTTTCATCCATGTCATCGACTTCATCCTCATTGTCAACATCGTGCAAAGCAGCTGCGGCATTTGCTGCTGCTTTCTTTTTATGTCTCTGATGACGCGCCTTTAATTTTTTCAAACGCCACCAATCTTTCAACCAAGTCCACTCCATTGTTTTTAAGTCTATACTACTATCTATGTATTATTAAATAACAACTATGTCGTCATCTAATTAGATTTTATTTTGTTTGTAATTTACACTATAATAAATTCGCTCACGACTTCACAACACTCAACTCAAAATCGTTGTTATCGCTTCCGCTAAAATATTTATACTAACGAGAGCACTCCAGCGTATGAAATACAAAAGCTTTTCAATAAAAATATACGTTTTACTTCCCATAGAATTTAATTATTTTAAAATTCTTATACAAAAACAATCGAAGAGCGAAAATACTTGCTCTGTTTTCATTTTATACTCCCCAGAATAGCTGCCACTGTGACTGGAAGATTGTCTTACGTCTCACAACGAATTCGGTAAAGTGAGCAGTTATCAGCCAAAGAACGTCGCATTTAATCTTAAACCAAACAATCTTATAATCAAACTTAAGGTTTCATACGCTAATTCCAATAGCAAACTATCTGAGTGTGTAACTAATTATAATCCATCAACAAATAATAAACCTAATTAAAATATTTAGAACCAATCGAGCTGAAGCTGAAGGCAAAAATAACTCAAAATTAAATGAGAAAAATTTAGTTTATAGCATATGTTTGGTTGTCTATCTCAGATAAAATAGATAACATAACTTATTTTTATAATTTTCCCCTCTATTGCTATCTGTGAACTTCAAAAACCACTTTAGGATATTAATTATTAAATTAAAAACCAAAAATTAATGAAAAATAATTAAGTATGTATGAAAATTTAAATTATTTACTCTTCAAGCCACACATAATACTATATCATAGTATTCTAAACTTAGATTTGTTGTTAGACTGTTGCGGGTCTGTTAGTTCATTGCTTGCCGTAAAAATATCGTAGAAGAGGTCTGCATAAAATCTCATAGTAAATTTGTTTCTAGTATCTTGAATCCACGCTGCACATTAGCTGAACAATAACAAAGCATTTTTTAACTTTATTTAAATAAAAATGTTTTATTAAGAGTTTTTTCGAACAATAGTGAACTACAACAATAAAAATTAATTTTATATTTTAATTAATTGAATGTTAGGCTGACCACACTGCTCTTTCGAGTATTACCAAATACCCATCATCAGTGGTCTTGGAATTATTTCTTGTATTTAATTATTCGTAAATAATTTTTTGAGACTGCAAGTACGAGGAATCGAACTCGTGCCCTGTCAAATTTAAATTTCAGAGTCAGCACACCTTAACCAACTGATCCAAAGCCGTACTTTACTTTAATGTTCGTACATTTTTCTGGAGTTTTGTTACTTTGCTGTGAAAGTTTTATTAAAAAACTCACTTGCTGTGTTTATATTAGAACGAAACCATAAACCAGCTGCAGAATAATTGAATTACTTAATTATATTTTAATTTTTAATGTTAAATTTCAATACTATTCTGTTTATAGTGGCATTATTTGTTGCATGATTCTTTCTTATGTATAGAACCTAATCTAGGAACGTAATACTGAGAAAGTCATGCTAATGTTACTCCACGAGTCGCACGGGCGAGACCAATATTTTATGCTTTATAAAATTAATTAACGATCAACTTTATATCAGCCATTCTCTTGCTGATCTTGCAATGTCAATAA